TGGAAATAGCAATAATAATGATAACAGCTAGGGTAATAATAATAAGAATACAAGTGAAAATTGCCGTTGGCTTGTGCCACACAGTATTGTCAATGTGGTATAGAAATCCTAACATGTTTAAAAATATTGAATATAATGTTCTTTCTACATGATATGGTGAAGGAAAAAACATAGGTTACAGCCGTCATGGAGATAAGTTGGTGTTTGCAATTATGAGAGTAAAACAGAGAATTAACAGGACCATAAATATAATAGAAGTAATAAAAGTAAAACTTGAAGGTATGTAAGGATGGATGGAGGAAATTGTTTATTTACTAGATGAAAGAAGGTTAGTTAATTCTTGCCTGACACTATTTTCATCACATAAAATACATGCCAAGTATGGTATCATAGAATTTCTATACTTAGACGTGCGAGCATACAGTTTTATGAAGTTACTCCTTGTTCTACCTGAGGAGATGCAAGGTGAAAGCTGAGGGTAAAGCGGATGCTCCAAGTCAGACAAAATCCCTTTAGCAAATTTATTGCACGAAGTCAAATGCCTATCGACAACGACGTTAACTATGTGGTCCACTGGGACACCACTCACTCTACTGACAGTCTTCAGTATTCTACGAATTGTGACATAGTCTTTTTTAAGCAAACCAGGAAAGAATAAGGGTGAGCAATAAAGAAGAATAGGTAGGATGCAAGAGTTTACGAACTGTAGGATGAGGGGTTGAGTTATACCCGAGTGTCTTAACTTCTTAATGTAAAATGTCAAGCGGAATATTTTACTGGAGATTGCTAAGACATGGGAAGACCAGGAGAGATCAGAAGAGAGAATGAGTCCAAGATACTTAATTTCTGATTTGATTCCTATATCATTGTCGTCAATTTTACAAGTGTCATGAGAATCGATGACTTCTTTTAACTGTCGTTTACATCTTAAGCTGAAATCAACAGTTTGACACTTAGAAGGATTCAGTTTAAGACCGTTAGACTCAGACCATTTGCTGACTTCCGATAGAAAGCTATTTATTTTAGTACAATCTAGCTGGGAGTTAACAGCCATTGAAACCGTTAAATCATCAGCATACTTCACAAAGTTTATTTCATCAGAGTGAGGCAAGTCGTGCAAGAAGAAAGAAAAAAGAAAAGGAGAAAGAACAGCACCTTGAGGGACACCAGCTTCAGTAGGCAATGAAGTGGAGGACTTCCCTTTATATACGGTGTACTGCTTTCTATCTGAGAAATAGGAATGCAACCAGTTAACAGCCCAACATTCTGTTTGACTAGCAGCAAGTTTATTTAATAAGATGTCCCTAGGGACCGAGTCGAAAGCAGATGTATAGTCTAGGAAGGCGCAACGAACAAATTTAGCCCCCTTGTCTAGACTGGAAGCAATGTTATGATATAAGACGGCAGCTGCATCTAAAGTGCTTCTACTGTGCTTATAGGCAAATTGTTTAGGGTCATTAAAGGATTTAAGCGAAGGTTCAAGACTAAGTAAAAGTAATTTCTCCATAGTTTTCAAAAAAGGAGAGGTAATAGCAATGGGTCTAAATTTGACACATGCTCCAGTAGAAGATTTAGGTATGGGTACAACTTTAATGTCCTTCCAAACGGCAGGCACAATATTATCGGAAAAAGATTTGTTAAATAGATCAGTAAGAGGGTGACACAGAATATCAGAACATTTTTTAAAAATAATACTAGGTACATAATCGGGACCTAAGCTCTGGGAAGGGTTTAGAGACTTGAGGCACTTTTGAACATCATTTGTGTTAAAACCTGGAAAGGGGCTATTATTAACACAAGTGATGCTGGGAAGCATGGCATTTGAGGGAGAGTAAATAAAAGATTTGTTAAGAGTACATACATCAAAAGAATATGGAATATTGTTTATCTGCTTACCACCAGTGATTTCCTTAAATAGTTTCCACATATTAGAAGGATTTTTGCAGGACATGAATTTCTGGTTATATATTACATTCAACCTCTGCATTTCAGACTTAATTAAGAAGTTAGTTCTTTTTACACCAATTTTATCTTTGATTTTATATAGTTTTTCCTTCTCTCTACGAAGCTTTTTAAGTTGAGGCGAGGAGAAACGGTCAAATTTGACGAATAGTGTTTCTTTTGGACAACAGATTTCAAAACAGAATTTCAGATAGGATGTAATATTAGAGATATTGTCATTAAGTGAATCAACATTAAACAAATCCCATCTTGTGTCACTGAGCATGTTTCTAAGATGATGTACGTTCTCATTTGAGTAGCATCTGTGAACAACTTTCTTAGACAAGTTTGAGAAGGCTTTACTGTGTAACTTTCCGTAAATTTTGGGTAAGACTCGTACAATACAATGATCAGAATTGAAGAGCGGGGCTCTTTTACGAGCTTCGTATATTCCAGAATCATTTACAAATACTAAATCAAGTGAAGTATTTTGTCGAGTTGGGAAATTAACAACATTTGCATGGCCCAGCAATGTAATAAAACTGCAGTCGCTGGAGTTGAAGTCGCCGGTCACTATAGATAAGGAGTTACCAAACGAAGCAGCAGCAAAAATAGTGAATTCATCAGCGAAGATAGATAGTTCTGAGGGACTGCAACAAGGTGTGATATAGATATTTGTGACAAAAATGGAGCTGTATTTGGGTAAGTGTTTAGGTCGACATTTTACAGTTATACAGTCAATATTGTCATTTGAGAATTTGAAGCAGACGTTGTTGGCAGTAGACCACTGAGAATTAATAAAAGTGGCAACACCACCACCTCTCTTCTTCTTCGAGCTGCATCGGTCTTGTCTGTAGATTGTGAACCCACTTAAGGAGACTAAATTGTCGTCATATGAATCATGGAGCCAAGTCTCTTGAAGAGTGATTACACCAGTATTACAATATACATTTGAGTATAATAGAGAATGCAAGTAGTTAATCTTGTTCGATAATGACCTGCAATTTGTGCTCATAATCACAGGAACAGTCATCTGATGCATTGGAGTACACTTTAATGATCTCTGCCAACCTCCATGATGCTTTTTCTTAACGTTATTATATACTCGTAAATCAACGGGTTGAAGACATTTTAAATAATCGCGAGAGTAAGTAATGCGACTTGGATACATAATTGAATGATTAAAACAAAATAAATCCGAGGAAATAGATGCAATATGTAGGATGGAAATTTTGGTAGCCCAAGATTTAAGCAGGACACCAGCAAACTATGAATCCTCGAACTGATTTCAGAGTAATGAATACCTTTCATGTTTTCCTGATTCTGACTTCAATACCTTCATTTGTGACCCATATATTTGAAAATATGCGGCTTGCGTAAATTATTTTATTCTTTTATGTTCCCAGTGGAACATAGGGCTTGAGGTTTCGGCAGCAGTGGTGTTTATTTTCACAGGATGGGGTCGCTAGCTACATGCCCAACCTTATCTCTTTACCAGTCTTATTACTGGCTTAGCGAGGTAAAGGAGTGCGTCTGTGGCCGGTATCGAACATCGGACCACACGAGGCGTGGTCGGCGAACATTCTACCGCTGTGCCATCGACGCACCGCTTGCGTAATTAATTCACACAATTTAATTAGAGCTGGAATTCTCACTCAAACACTTGCAGAACAGAGGAAAGTTCAAGCGGAAAAATTTCCATTTTATTGGATACTAGTTAGTAGCTAGTGTAAGGTGTCTAGTCCCCTGTTTGGTGCAGACTGAATTCTATCAGCTAATTTTGCAATGTGACTAACATTCGAGGTGGTGGCTTACCATCACAAAGTGCTTTGAATTGTTGATATTAGATGGTTTGAGGAAGTCGACCACACGAAGCCTTGGACCTAGGTTTCGTGCTAGTTGACACTCACCAGTCAACAAGGCTTATCTGCAATCATAAAGGAACATCTCTCTCTCTCTCTCTATATATATATATATATATGATAATCTAAAAAATCGTTATTGACAATAATGATGCGTTTCTAAATAATATCGATTTGTTAGGACCAGTGGAATTGCAGTTCAAGGGAGTTGCGTAATTTATAATAAGCATTGAAAATGTTATACTAAATAGAATATCATATAAAACTAATAAAAAGGCCTACAATAAATTAGAGATGGTTAAAACATAGATGACGAAGTGACGGAAAGAGTCTGTACAACATCTTTTAGACACTCAAGTGTTGCTTGATGTAGATTCCTTCAACAGACGAATTCTTGAGGCACGAGTAAGTTTAGATAACTTTGTAAACATCATTAGCATCGATTTTTGATCTGTATCCACGAGGTGACATATAGTAAAGGTATGAATGAACCTTGTTTGTTCTTACCTAACCACGCAGAATGGTATTCGGAAATCCGACGATAAACAGGCCTAACTTTGCGCCCTATTCGAGTGGCTCCACAGGAGCAGTCAGCATGTTAGATACACATAGAGGAGGCAAAGTTAGCCAGTTTACCTTTAACTTACGGACGTAAAATAAAATAAGGAGTGGTTTCGAGGAGACAATTTACTTCAGTGGCGCTGAATGCTCTTTTCACCTCATTCCCTAAGCGTTGGATTATTATTTCACTGAAGTTATCACTGAGGTAGTGAGGCTGAAACAACAAGGCCTTTTTCGAAACTGTTGGTACCTTGGATCTCCTTGGCTTTTGATTTGTATTCCTGTCGATGAATTACTCTGTATAATGATTTAACTGATCACTGGTTGAATTATATGGAACCTAATACCTTGCAAAACACAACTGCAATTAACTATCCTGAGAACGACGAAGACTTTGTCCATGTGATAAAAGTTACCTAAAACCGAATTTGAATATTTGTAAATCACAATAACAATTTGAACGCTTTTGTGATTCATTCGAACCCGATCTTCAGAATAACATATTTGAATACTTCTCAATTTCGATATGTTCTACACTGAGTGGTGTAGAGTACACTACCCATTATATAGAAATATTACTCATTACGCGTGAATTTCCTTTACTTAGTCGTTAATGGTGTATTATCAATTGTATAGGGAGTACACAATATCATATTAATTCTCCTTATCTCACAGCTACTCTGAAGACGAAGCTCAACGTTAAGCCAAATGACTGGTACATAATAAATATTGGACAGATTGGATATTATAGAGTTCATTACGTTGATAATAACTGGGAAGTGTTGACAGATGAATTACTCAAGAATTTCAAGGTAAGTAGGTTTAAAAATCTTATTTCATAATAGCAGTGACCATAAGAGAAATGACTCAAGTTACAATGGTCTATTATTGAGTCATTCACTTATAATCACTGATACATTCTGGTTAGATACGAATCTGTTCAGTGACCTATATTAAACTGAACACAAGTGGCTGACAACATCCTATAAGTGTGATATGTGTGAATTACATAACCTGAGGAAATATTCGTTATGTTGACACTTAGGAATAAGGAAAGGACAGGGAACGGACTATATGGAGAGAAAGTGGGTGTTCGACTGAGATAGGGACGGGGTAACATGCCGGATATACACGATATCTTGTAATTTTAATGCTACCTTATTAAGAAATGCAAATGTGTTAATTGAAGGTCAAATATCTAAATGTTTACTGATTAACGCCAACTCAGCCTTCTTACTTCATGATCGCAATGTTCATCTGATTTCATCAATCCTCTCAGCCATATCAGTAAATCAAATATCTCTTCCCCATAGAAATCAGTCCTCTTCCAGAGTCCCTAATTCAATCACAACTCATGAATTAGAACGAATTAAAAAAAGGGTGAAGGCTGACACAAAGGAAAAATTCCGTTAAGTTTAATAATTGTTCATGATTAGGAGGTATGACGCATGAGAATGTAAAATGTTAAAAATGTTGACCACTTGATTTTACCTCTTAGGATGTTTCTTGAAACGAATAACTACACAGTGTGATGGACAATTCCCCAATGGAGTAAATCTGTAGATATGTAAAACGAAATAATTAAAATTTCACAGAACACCGAAATCTGTTGGTCAAAATGACTTAGAAAATTGTAGTTCATATTGCAGAAGCCATATATTTACAAAAACACTTTGTCCGCCAAAAGACATTTGTCTAATTTTAGAATGTGGAAACAATCTGAGTTGATGGCGTGCTTGCTGTGTTCTATCTGTGGTCAAGCAATCGATGAGAAGTCCTCAAATATCGCGTTCTAGTTCAGAGTAATCCCTTTCGTAGTTCCCCGGTTTCCAGCCCTTCTCTAGTTAATGCTTTCTGGTTTGCAAAATAAAAACATCAACTTTGAAATAATTTGAATCCCCATAAATATGACATTTGAAGATCATTCAAAATTTCTATTAATTCATATGATCTATTTTCTACTTTCAGAGTGTTCCAGCTTCTGCACGACCACAAATCATCGGTGATTTATTCCATCTCGCGAAGTAAGTGATCACTAACTAAACGAAAGTTATAAAATAAAATATACCGAAGGAATGACTGATTGATGGGCTGTACACCTGTACACCTCGAATTCCTTCTCTGCACTATCCTACTATCTGATGGGCGAGTTCTTCTCATAAGTGGACAACATATTGTTATACTGGTCAATGGAAAACATCAGATAGTTTGATTGGACACTGATGACTAGTGTGACATATCTAGTCTTTTGCTTGGTTCAGACTGAATTCAATCAGTCAGGTTTACAATGTGGTTACCATTCTAGGTCGCTCGCCATCATAGTGCACTTTGATTTAATGATATTGGATGGTTTGAGGCAATTGGAAGGAAGCCTTGTTTAGACCCGGGTTCCATGCTAGTTGGCACATTCCGCAGTCAGCAAGGCGCATCTGCAGTTACCTTGAAGGAGCTCATTTCTTTTCTGAGATTTGAACCCGCGTCACCCAGTGCTGTCTGTAGTGAGAGACGTTCACAATGAGTTATTCGGGCTCGTGATTGACCTCCTTCCTGTAGGACTGTATTAGAAACATCTTATATCTTCCTGATTTGTCCCGAGGTTAAGGAAAGCGCTTATTTGGCATTTTAAATGATCTAAACTGTTGACAGACGCATTTGGAGCAAGACACAGATAGTTCGTCTAGCATTTATTTATCGAAATTCTCAGATCTAATAGTGTACTGGTAAACCATTATTAATAACATAGTGATGAGTTTACACAGCAGATGATTTCTACAAAAACATTTCTGTATTCAACAAAATAGACATCTACATGCTTCATGCTGGATGGTAGAGATTATTGCCTCAACGAAATTCATTTAGAGGTGAAGTAGTAGCCAAGACATTCCTACTTCAACTGTGTTGTTTCGATAGGAACTGCAAAGTGTATCTTAGTGTACAGTGTATGGGAATCCACTCATAGTTACATTAAATCTGTTTATATTTCTCTCATCACTCACGTGATATCTCAGACAGCGAGTGAGAGACTGCGTTCCTGTTCAAAATTAGTGAAGATAATTTCCTCCAACTTTACACCTTCCCTATTTTGAAATTCTTACTGTCAATAGTAAAAAGTGATACATTTAAACAGTTATCTGTTGTTCAATGTTTCAAGGAAACAAGGCATTTCTGAAAAAGAGAATGTTTACGCACGCCATATTGCCCCGAAAACTACCAATAACCTGTGGGATTTATTTATTCTTATTATATCCTTTAATTCCTAGAGGAACATAGGGCTTCAGACGCGCGTCTGTATTGCCTTCGGTTCTCTGCCAACTTTTTCATCCCACTCCAAGTCTGCTACATGATTTCATCTCCTCTTCACATGACCTCATCCAAGTCACCCTTGCACTGACGACCAACTCGCCGCTTCCCTTTCGGGTTCCACTCGACCGATGGCCTGGCATGTGATGTCACTTGATGGTTTCCTCAGAGTATGGCCAATCCATCTCCATTTTTTCCTGCCTATTCGTATCCCAATCGGTTCCTGGTTGATCCGCTGCCTCCCAGAGATCCCTGTTGCTGATCTTTTCTGGCCATCTGATCTTGAGTAGCCTTGAGCGAAGAAAACTGTTAATGAAGTTAATTTAGTTTGTTTGCGGTTCTCTTTATGACGCACCAAGTCTTTGATCCATCCGTATAGTAGCACTGACTTCACATTGGAGTTGAAAATCCGGATCTTATTTTTGATTCTTAGTGCTGTTGACCTCCACACAGACTAAAGATTAGTGAAATCTTGTCTTGCTTTTCCTATTCTGGCTTTGATATCCTCGTCAGTTCCGCCTGTAGTTGAAACGATGCTTCCCATGTAAGTAAAGGAGGTAGCTTCTTTCAGGTTCCTCCCATTTATGCGGGCTGATTGTTGTCTGTTGTTGTTGCTGTTGTTGGTGTTGGCCAGGAATCTTCATCACCTCTGTTTTATCTATGTTCACCTGAAGTTCTATCTTTGATGCTTGTTCTGCCAACTTGTTGCTTTTCACTTGCATATCTTCCAGTTTGTGGGAAATCAGACATATATCATCGGCGAAGTCCAGATCCTCTAAGATTTTTGTGTGAGTCCATTTTATGCCTGTTTCCTCACTGCCTGCTGTTTGTCGCATTATCCAATCTACTGAAATCAGGAAGATCATTGGCGATGATAGACAGCCTTGCCTCACTCCCATCCTCACTTCGAAGGCTTCCGTAAGTTTCCTGTTGTGGATTACTTCTCAGGTAGCATTGTCGTATAACTGTTGGATGAGATGTATAATTGTTGATGGCAACCCGTAGTAGCGAAGTAGTTTCCAAATCACCTCTTGATCAACGCTTTCTGTCGAAGGCCTTTTCAAGGTCGACGAAGTTGAGTGAGGTGGAGAGGTGACTGCCATTCCAAGCTTCGTTCAGTGATGATACGCAGAGTGGCGATTTGATCAATACATGACTTGTTTCTCCTGAATCCGGCTTGTTCTGGTCGAAGTTTTTCATCCAACCTGTGGGATTGCTAAGCTAAAATAGATTTTGGAGTTGTTGATTACTTTGAAGAGTAAATATACAGATAGAGATATTTTGTTGCTATGAGATATCCATTGGCTTGATGAGAAGGACATACTAAAGGCCACCATTCAGAATGAAAATAGTCTATAAATTTAAGGCTGAGATAGTTTGTGTTGATCAGTGACAGTTTGAAAACATGTAGAAAACAAACCTTCAACCTGCATCGAACAAAAGACTAGACACATGACAGCTACTCATTACTGTCTAGTGTCCAATAAAAGTACAAACGAAAATCTCTCATATTTTCTACTTTCTTCTAGTCATGGTAACGTATCATTCACTACTTTCCTGAACTTGACGAAATATTTGAGCCAAGAAACACAATATGTGCCTTGGACAACTGCCGGAAGAGCTCTTCTCTATCTTGACCGTATGCTTCTTTTGGATGAGAATTACGGAGGCTACCAAGCATATGTACGTCTCCTTGTAAATGCAGCTGTGAGAGACGTTGATTGGATAACTATGACAGAAGATCGAAATGAAGAGAAACAGTAAGTTTTATAGCTTTCTTAATCATTCATTCGTTGCAACACTTATGCCTAATTGTTATGTTACTCTTCAGTGATTGGTTTGCAAACTTTAGTTTAGAAACACATATGCCTGGTGAAACCGCTCCCCTTACTATCTCTTCCCTTGAAAGCATTGTGTTCACTAATCAACTAATAGTACAAGCAATTAAAAGCCTTAAACCTTCCACTAGTACGGGACCGGATGGCCTCGCTTCGATAATTTTCAAAAACAGTGGGTGTGATATACCCCTGTTACTTCTTAAATTCTTCTCAATATCTATGGACACTGGCACTTACCCTAGTGAGTGGAAAACTAGCTTCATAATTCCACATTACAAATCTGGTGATAGGGCAAACGTCCGCAATTACAGACCCATAAATATAACCCCAGTTATCTCACGAATCATGGAGAAAGTTGTAAAGGATCAATTGTCAGACTACCTAATTAGGGAGGATCTTGTTACAAGGTCTCAACACGGATTTCTCAAAAATAGATCCTGCGTTACTTGCCACTTCGACTTTTTCAACTGCATCACTAGTAATCGCGAAGCACGTAAGCTAGTCGTTGTTCTATACTTCGATATATCTAGGGCATTTGACATGGTATCTCACAGTATTCTCTTTGAGAAGCTGTACTCTTGTGGAATTCGCAACCCATTACTGAACTGGTTAAAATCATTTCTAAGCAACAGGGTACAAATAACCAAAGTTGGATCTGTATTGTCTCACCCCAGGCAAATCTCAAGTGGGGTCGTGCAAGGTAGTGTCCTAGGTCCACTTTTATTCACAGTCTACATTAACAGCATTTGCAAGTGCTTCACCTCAGGTAAACCATTCCTATATGCTGACGACCTCAAAGTCGTCTACTCCTGCTACACTCATGAATTAAGCGATATGGTAGATAAAATACATCTTGAACTAAGTAGCCTTGCAACGTGGTGTGCTGAATCCTGCCTAAATTTTAACATTGACAAATGCGGCTGGATTTGTATCGGCAACAGTAAGCTTGATCTAAACCTTGAAATAAATGGGCGAAAACTAGCTAAGCTCAATTCAGTCGTAGATCTCGGTATTAGATACTCTAGTAACCTAACGTTCGCTGAACAGACTGATTATGCCAGACGTAAAACGCGTAGGCTGATAGGATGCATAACACGCAATTTCTTTTGTTGTGAAACTAGGGTTTTATTATACAAAGTATGTGTCCGACCTATCTTAGAATACTGCCCGTTTATTCTTAGCGGACTAAGACAAAATGACAAGCTTAAATTAGAGGGAGTGCAACGGCAGTTTACCTCAAGAACTCTTGGTTTAGAAAGTAGTCTGGAATACCATGAGAGATGCGTAAGACTAAGATTAGAACCCCTCTGGAAAAGACGCCTTAAGCTAAACCTAATCTTTTACTATAAGCTAACTAATCTTCTCTTGCATTCCTCCGAGCCATTAACTAAACCTACCCCTGTCGTCAGTTACAATCTTAGAAATCATCACAACCTAGCTGCTATAGAGCACTGTCAGACTTACGTGCGGTACAACTTCTTCTTAAATAAGTTTTCAGTCATTTGGAATAGACTACCAGCTAATGTGCGCGATGCAAACACACTTCCAGTGTTCATCTCCTCAGTCACCAGACTGCTCAAAGATGACAATGCACTTATACGTCTGACTCTTACACCCTCTTTTTCACCCTACATAGATATTTTAAGTTGTTTAAACGTGTAGTTACAGCAAACTACAATTATAAATTTTAATATTATTGGAACTAGATGATTAACATTTCTACACAGGACAGTAATATTAGTTCACACATAATATAAAAGTTAGCATAACGGGACTAGTTAGTTTGTGTACCAAAATAACCACAGTTACTAAACAGAATATATATGTATATATTTATTAATCACTCCTTAAGGACTCCCGTTGCTTTCTTTTGCGTTGCTGTTGTTTGTCTTCTTTTTTCTCTCACCATTTCAGCTTCCATTTGACTTTTTGAATGAGAATGAATAATGTGGATATTTGACCATTTACAATGACAAATGATCTGCAAACATTATTGGTCCCGTATCTTTCAGTTGCCTGGTTAATAACGAATTAACTTTCTCCACGACGCAACCTGGATTACATTTGTGGAATATACTCTTATACCAATGGAAAAGTATCAATTTGTAATACAACGTCACGATTGTAACTTATAACATAACTGATCGTATCTGTAAAAATAGCTTCCTTATTACCCAATTTGGATATAAATCAAATCAAAAATGAGATTCGGATTTGTACACACCCAGGTTATATTGAGGAATTACTTCAAGCTTTATTTTTTCCCAAGTATTTTTAATCCATCCAAAACTTACTTGGGTTTTTTTGTTAATGCGAAGACAACATTCCTATATTTCATGATGTGCTCCATTGAATGACTTGTTATATTGTGGAATAACTTCAAGCTTTATTTTTTCCCAAGTATTTTTAATCCATCCGAAACTTACTTGGGTTTTTTTTGTTAATGCGAAGTCAATATTCCTATATTTCATTATGTGCTCCATTGAATGACTGGTTATCATATTGTTCCCACAGACCTAAAAAAATGGCATGCATTTTCATGTAAATTTATATGTTTATATGAGAATATACATTATTATAATTATTATTAAAACAAAAACGCCAGCAACCATGTAACTTAACCATAAACCGAATTTATGAAATTTAATTTATGCTTATCCATGCCTGTATATTTGGTGTGTCCTACACAAGTAGGAAAAAATGTGTACTTTATTAAAACATTATTATTAATTATGATTCCTAATCGTATATGTAATTTATCATATTGATGATGCCTGTAAACTGGCGTCTCTCATGTACAAAATGAGAATATACTATTATTATTATTATTATTATTGTAGTGCTAATGGCAGTGGTATTTCAAGACTAATGGATTAAGAAATATGATTAGGAAATCTTCAGACACTTCTAATCTCCGAATGCTTCCATACATTTGAATGAGGTTGTGTTCCCTGAGCTGGGTGATTTAATTAAGAAGCGCATCACTAAAATTTTGGGTTTTCTAGATAAACTCCAAGATTCTAAAGAAATTCGCTCAATACAGAATCATTAATCAGTTAGAGATTAAAGTGGAATTAAATCGTTAAATAGAGACACATAACATAGTTGATGGGAGTGAAAAGAGTTGAAGTAAAGTCTGGCCAAGAGCACTGTCATCAAAAGTAGAGCTGTAGCAGCGGGGAATAGAGAAAAGTGATTAGGAATGAAATGTTTAACAGTCGATAATTTTCACTTACTGATGAAGATTTTAGCGATGCAGCATGTTTTAGCATATACTGATTTTCTTTGCATGTATCTGAATGTTATGTGGAATAAATTTGTAGGCACGTATTTCTGGTCATCTATGTGCTTCATATTCATTTGTCAATGACTTAAACCTCATCAAAAATGGTTGATTTGCATTTGATTTCTTGTCTCGTTTTGTTGTTGATCTTCAGTTTGTTACGTGGAACCTTGGGGAAATTGCTTGTCATGTTGAACATAAATTATGTCTACACACTGCTAGAGTATTGTTCACACTATGGATGTCGGAACATGTGACGAATCCGTGATTTATTCAAGAAACATTAACTTTTATTTTGATGTTATAATGAGATAGTCGCCTAGACATTTTGTTTGAATCGGTGTGGAAGTGAACTGAAGAGCAACAGTAACATTTTCGAGATGTGTTGTTAAGAGAAGTTGTCCAGATTTTTCCATGTATTTAGTCTTGGAGAGCACTCCACTTACCATTATTTGTGGGTAATATGGTGACAGTTTCTAATATAAAGATGGATAGCTGACGTAATTTCATTTAGAGTATCATTCAGTCTAGTTGAATGTCAAAATATTGAAACGATGTAGATGTCTATCTCTCATTTATGGCATTCTGAGGCACGTTTTATTGACCAACCAACGAATCTGAACACTTACTTGTTTTACGATCTCTTAAGATGAGTCAAACGGTAGGGAAACTCATTAATGTGACATGAATTTCATAACTAAATAGATGGATGAATCAAGATCAGTGAAGAATTCTCATGACTGATGGACATTACGGTGTTATTGAATCCATTTCTCGTTAAAGATACATATTACTGGTAAACATATTTTGGGCGATCAGTGTACCACAGCAGAATAAACATTATTGGAGTATGAAGTTGAAATATATTTCAAGAGAATTTCATAGGAACTCACTTCTTTGACAAACCTCAACTTGTCACTCACATATTATTGAAATATCTTGACAAAATTGATTGATGATGAAGTGGCTGATGGATGGCCTGTTCATAACAGATATGATGATTTGGCCTTCAGTTGGTTACAGGGTTCCACCATGAGCTGACAGTCGTTGGAGCACCATTAAACAGCTAGTTGGGAGTACTGGACAGCCAGCTGTTTCATCAGTCTTCTTTGGGACTCTTCGTCGATACGCACCTACCTTGGTTCGAATCCACGACCTTGTGGTAACACAGCCAGCTAGCTCACAGAATATTAAGCTGCTGGGACCTGATCCAATGGCTGATTCACGATAGCTCATGATGAAATTTTGTAACCAGTCAATCAAATCCCTACAAACTAATACTTTGTCTTCAGTTATTAATGTCAAATATTTGACCCGATTAAATCCTCAAAATATGCATTCTTTATAGACATAACCATCTGAAGTGTGACATGAATTTTCTCTTCATAGCCCATTAATGCTAGTTGTGGTTTAATTATATAAGGGGAATCGAGATTCAAGTATGCAACAACCTCTCTGTCAAGCAAATCTAATGTTAAATGGCTTAGACACTGTTGTGAAATACTTAAAAAATACTTAGTAATTTGTTTACAGGCAAGTTTCAACGCATAATTCAAAGAAACACTGGAGAAAAGGCAGTAACGACCCAAATCTGAGGTGTTGTGATTTGAAAGCAGGAAACCTATACTTTTTGTTCTACTGTTTAGCTAACCATAACTTAATATTAATAAAAGTAATAATAATAAAGCTTTATTTCACACAATATTCCAACATATGATACAAACCCCTTCAGTGTATTTAGCTCCAAAATACTTTTTTTTGTTGAAAGACGATTTACATGTAAAGTAATAATCTGAAGTATATCTTCATTTTTTTACGAGTTGATCACGGATTGATATCAATTAGAGAACGATTGAAAACCACGGAGTACTGGACAGCTGCTGTTTCATGCTAGTTTGGGAATCATCGGCAGTACGCAACCACTGGTATACGAGGTTGCCTTGTAACCGGAAGGTCCTGGGATCGAATCCCAGTGGGTGCGTACTGCCGATGATTCCCAAACTAGCATGAAACAGCAGCTGTCCAGTACTCCCTGGTTTTCAATGGTTCTCTAACTGATATCAATCCGTGATCAACTCGTAAAAACATAACTAACCCTCAGAAAGCAAACTATAGAAAATATCTTCATTTCCTTGAAGAATTGCATGGCGTTTACTTGGAAACAAGTTCAGTGAGCGCTCAAGTTCATGTAAAGGTTATCTGATATATCTGGACGATGAAAACAGCGATAAATCGAGATGAAACTAAGCATTTTGGTGGGAAGCCATTTCGGTAGCCCAGTGATTTAAACAAGCCGCCATCAGTTGGTTATGTTATTTACAGTCGCAAAAATGTCTGAACAGTAGTAAAAGGACAGTTATTTATGATAAAATCCGCGGTACCACCAAAACACAAATTCACCTTAACAATCACTTTAGGCAGTTATGCAGTTCAAAGTAGTTCTCAGATACGATAGAAGTACTGTGTAACAGAATTATTTAGTCAAAATGAACCGTATCAATTAACCGAGAACCAAGAAGAATATTGCCGACAAGATGGAATCAAAACATTTTTGGCAAGAATTACACACACTGAACAACTCCCGAAGACACTTTAGGTCGCAGTCGAAACATAACACATTACAGGGGTCATAATACAACCACAAAGGGAAGCATTCACATTAGAGATTGAACAGGAACAAGGAGAAATAATGACGACTGTGTCATCAGACAATATGAGAACGTCAGAACAGTGATGTACAATCTAGAGGAAAAAAAGATCATATTCACGGAGCTGGTTGGAATGTCTAAATAAGTAACAATATCGTAAATAAATCATCCAAGAGGGACTTCCCAAACAACTATTGCTATACAAAGGTGAAACCATAATTAACATCCAGTTCCTATCATCAGGTGAGATAGTTTATCAACCTGATTCAAAATTCGTCTTCTTTAGTCTGATTACATGTTGCTTATTCTACTTCCTGTTAACTCTGAATACACATTCCATAGAATAGCGCCTGGTTTGAGATCAGCCGTCTACTGTACAGCTATCCGATTTGGTGGGCAAGCAGAATGGAAATTTCTCAGAAGTCAGTTCAATGTTAATGAGACGGAAGATGTTGAAAAGGAAAATATCCTGACAGGATTATCTTGTTCCCGTGATGTATGGACGATGAAACTGTAAGTGTATGTAATATTAACAGTTAATTCGCCCGATGTTTGTTCATTGAAAACGAAGAAAGACTAGACCATCTGTCATCAATCAGAATTTCATTTTATGTCTTTCAATTTAGTTGAATAAGCAAGTTGAGATTTAATGTGTTCACTGTTCAAAATTGTTATCACTTAAATCTTTTTTTTGTAATGAACTGTTTGTGTGAAACAAAATAGTTGATAAGGTACCCGACCTAATCAAATAATCTAAACATTTATGGTGATCATGATGATGACCACTGAGTGAGTTGTCAGGAGTGTTTAATACTCAGGGTTTCAATAATAATCAAAGATTTAAGGGGTAAAGTCAAGGAGAATCTAATTTTAGAGGGAATAACTTTTCTTTAGGCAAAATCTTTTCAATAAAGGATGGAAAATACGTAAAGAACTTTGGTTGATAATAAAGGATCTATATGGAGACACAGAATAACCAAACTACTGCCGCTAGACGCCATA